CATTTGTGTGAATTTGTCAATATAAGAGTTCTGTGTGTCAAAGTTCATCCTAATAAAGAACTAAAAAAATGAGGACGAGAAGGAGATACCAGAGTTTGCCCTTTCCAGATGTAAAAGGGAGACGCAAATCAACAAAATTACAAATATAAACACATTTTCGGTTCCTATGAGGGGCCCTGAAAAAAAGCAGAAATCCCGCATGCCCAAGGATTTGAACATCTGACCTCACCCCTATGAAGCAAGCGTGCTATCCACTACACCACCAGACCCACAGATACAGCTCCTCACCAGATCAACTTGACCGAGGCCAGCGGGATGCAAGGATGTAGAGGGCGCCATAGTGAGAAAGCCACAGTGAGAAGAATCCCTCGTAACTTCTTTCAGAGAATCGTTCCGCAGATAACGAAAACGGATTTGAGCTCAGCGTCGCAAGACGAGTACAGCGGACTACACCTCATTACAAATGGCCGGACTGACCAATTGACCATTCCTCGTCAGACGGAAAGAAGTTAAGAAGACGGACTGGTCTCCGACTCCGGTCGATCGCTCACATTGAGAGTTACGATGATGAGATGTATTGGCGCAAAATAGGCACATGATTCCATAAGAGCAGGGACGCAAATCGCAACAAGGAGCCCAGTACATAAAAACAAACTTGAGACTACGAAGAAACCGCTTTCAAAAAGATGGAAAGAGAAAGAAGAAGTTCTTCGCCATCAATCTGACTTAAGAAACCTCTTTGCGCGTGCTCGCTTGAACATAGCCTTCTGACTAAAGCAAGAGCAGCCTACCTGCATTCTATCTGTGAATTACCAAGAGAAAATTCCACCACAGGTAGGCTTTCGAACAAGACAAATGGAACGCAAGAAAAAGAACAGAAAAGCGTGGCACTGGGAAACAAAGAAAGAAAGAGAGAAGGCACATGTGAAGGATTGGAGAAACTCCAACCGCATATGAGACCGAATTAACAACTCACCTGTAGTGTAGTACGAAGCAACTCGAAGCACTGCAAATAAGCCATGATCCCACTATCCATGTTGTTGTTTCCAAACGGCTTCCAACTACCAGATGCGAATAACGGATATCTCACTTCTTCACCAGTGGAACTAAATTCCCTCATTATGCACTCCGATCAACTTATACCTAATACACACCGCTCTTACCGTTTATACTGTATACATGAGTGGCTGCACATAGTTATGAGCTTGAAATTATCTCTTTTGACACCCGCACGCTGCATCAAAACCTGAAAGAATTCAATGATAACTAAACTTCGTAATAAGCATATTGTGGTTTATGGATAAAAGGCTGACAAACGCCTACTACGCACATCTAACAGCAGAACTAGCTGTCCCCATGCGGCATTTATCTCCGGCCAATCGACGAGTCGATCTGGCAGTCGTCCAAGCCGAAAACCGTTTATCTCTCCTGTAATTCTCATGAAAGAAGATAAAGAACGGGATCACTCGTTGAATGACTAGAACATGGTCGGCAAGCGACTGACTCGCTCTCCTTATCCACTAAGCCAGCGCAGTTTGTAAAATAGTGCCGTCCAAGGAAGTAAAAATGCTAAAATTCCACAGCAAAATGCAATCAGGATCATCAAGACTAAGACGCTACTCGAATAAAAAGGATATGAACCTCCAGTAGCTGTCAATTTTTGCTACGCTCTGACTTATACACGGTGGTAAAGCTTTAGCAGCTGCAACTGCTAAAAGA